AGTAAAAACACTCTAATCTCAACTTTTTGTTTTTACACATTATTATATAACTAGCCATTTCTATAACAAAGCTATCTAATCGACAAAACCAAATTCAAAAATACATTTTTTTCATCACAAGCACAAAATCCAGAAGTGGTATCCAAATGAAAAGCATACACAAGTATATTCTCCTCTTCAAATGGGATAATTAATTTAACCATTGCTACTTTACCTTGCTGTGGAAATAGTATATGTTTCTATTTGCCCCTAATAACCTTTGTAGACTATCACCATTTCTATTAACAAAATTAACTGTATACTTTCTCAAATTCTTTGACCTTATTGGAAAAAGTACTTTTTTCCCCACACACACCCTTTTTTTAAAAAAGAAAAATGCTAAACTTTCTTTAAGTACTTTTCTAAAATCAAAACTTTCTAATACTTTCCCCCTCTTGGCTTCTTAACATACAGGCTTTGAATTTCAATATTGAATTTAGCTCTCGCCCTCCAGGGTTGGAGTTAAACAACTTTAGAGTTGTTATGTTCCCAAACAGTCCAAGTCCAACCCCTCTTGAATTCCTTTGGCCCTTATCAGGCGCCAATATAGTATTGAACTTTAGTTGACTAGATTCTTCAGGAATACATTTCTTGAACTTCATCGTAATATGTGATCCTGATCCCTTGTGCCTGGCATTAGTCTACATTACTATAATCTGTCAGGATGATACATATCATGAAAACATTCATGTTCCTCAATAATTCAATGACATACAAGTATCTTTAGTACAAGTCGCAAACTACCACATTAAATATTTCCTCTCTTTTCCCCTTAATATTTACAATCTCATGTTTAAACTAATACAATTCTTATTATATCAATTAAATAAAAATAACATTCTTACATTTATCAATAATTTTTAGCTTATACATATCCTGGTTATTTTAATATTCAGTCTATATAGACAATCAATGTCCTAATTAGTTTTTCCCAATTTTTAATTTCCCATCAATATTTAAATTTAACACTTAATATTTATAATTTCTAGTCGCCATTTTTTTGGAAAGACTAACAAATCGTCTCTATTTTTCCATCTTGACATAGTTGTCCTGAAATGTTAATCTTCCCTTTCGTCTGTTCTTCATGATCCTCAGGTTTCTTCTGGTTTATATAGAACGTCTTTTCCATTTTCCGTGTTGTCAGTTCCTTTTCTGGGATTTCCGTTAACTGTGTTTGTTGATCAGTTGAATCTTCTATCATAGTATTTGATTGTTCCACTTCTTCTATTATATTCTGTGTAGTTGATTCTTTAGTTGTAATCAAAGTTTGGATTCGTATATCTAGGTTGACATCTTGTTCTTTTCTGTAGCTTCTTATTTCATCAGAAACTGTAAGAATAGTTTCATAAATTGCTTTCAACATAAAGAGAATCTGTTCCTGATCTTCATCCATGTTCTCTTAGTGGTGTGTTAAATTAAAAGCTTTACAATCAGAGAATGAAAATAATTTTGTCACTGAGTACAGAACACAGCTGATATGTGCCAAGGTTGCAAAAGTCTTATCTATAGTCTGGGCTTTAAGCCAAGTCTCTTTTAGAGAATAACAAGTTGTAATATCAGGTTTAGCCACAAGATGTCCCTCATACTGTTTAAGATTTTTTTAAGTCCAAAATTTTTATAATCCTTTTTCCAATTTTACTTCTTTTTTGTAAGTAAAAACACAAATCTTTAATAAGAATAAGAAATCTTTTACTCCTCAAATTTTAGAAAGATAGAAATCCAGTTAGAATCAGGTTATTCTTTCAGCGTTTTAAACTCCCCTCGATAGTCAGTCACCGCTGTTTTTAGAGGGTTAGATAGAATTTCTCTTCCCTCTCTACATTTGAAAGAAAACATTCATGTTCATGTATTAAAAATATAGAACATATGCATGAAAATAAGCCAACAATATAATAAAAATATGATACTATTATTAGATTATTTTATCCCACTTTTATTATTTTTATAAATAATTCAAGGTGGCAAACATACTCCTTCTCCTATCTTCTCCACAACAACAACTCTGTGAGGTGGGTTGGGATGAGAGAGAATGACTGGCCCAGCTAGTCACCTAGTCCTAACTAGATTTCATGCCTAAGGAGGGACTAAAACTCACAGTCTCCTGTGTTTTAATTAATTTAAACTTATATGCTGTCTACCTTTCAGTGGCTCTGGGTGGTTTACCAGAATAAAGCAAAGAAATTATAATAAAACCAATAAAAGATTGCAAGCAAGATGAAGCGAGTGATCTCCCTCTGCCTTTCCAAAGGCCTAGGTGTAAAGCAGTAACATTGAGCAAGATGGCATAATTTCAGTCCACAATTGATCCCCAGAATAGCTCAGTTTTTAGCATCTTCAGACTAGGACAGTGATGGCAAACCTATGAGACCCATTTCAAAGGTGAACACCATGAAGTTTCAGGTAACATGCCTATGTTCACTAGCCCCAACATCAATAATTCTAAAAAGGGTGCTCCTCACATCTAATTTTTGGAGGCCATATGAGAATGGTTGTGCTCTTGTGTAGCCTCCGAATCTGAGGTGGCCCTTTTTGAGTGGTAGTGGAGGCCCTAGGGCGGTAGTGGCGAACCTCTGGCACACATGCCAGAGGCGGCACTCAGAGCCCTCTCTGTGGGCACACGTGCTGTCTCCCCAGCCCTGCCTCACCCCACAACCCCCTCCTCACCAGCAGCCCCCCAGAGAGGAGTCGCCCTTGAATGCGGCCCATGCAGAGCAGCACAGCCAAGCACATGGAGCCAGGCAGCAGGGACAACACTCTGCCCTCGCACTCCATTGTGCACAGAAGATGCTGCAGGGTGTGGGCGGAGGGCATGGCCACCATGGTGCTGCTGGGCCACCTGGGCGATCTGCGGCGGGTCGTGTAGGCGGGTGGAGCGGGGACAGAGCAGGCTGGGGGCAGGAGCGGAATCGGTGGGACAGGCGGTGCGGGGGCGGTTTTTGGGCACTTGGTCTCTAAAAGGTTCACCGTCACTGTCCTAGGGTGAAGTTGAGGCCTGGGCCTCTACTTCAGTCCAGGCTCAGCACTGCCACTAAATAGATGGGGGGGGGGGAAGAGAGAACTGTTTGTGTTTCATTTAGGTGTGTGTGTGTGTGTGTGTGTGTGTGTATGTGTGTGTGTTTGTGTATGCTTGACATAGCAAGCCCAAAAGGTTCGCCATCATTAGAGTAGATAGTCTGAAAAGAAATCAAAGGAGGGCAATTCCATGGGAGACATTTTCACAGCAGCAATACTACTATTGAATAGCAGCACCCCTGTACTTCAGTCCTCTCCATGTCCATCAAACTGAGGTATTACCAGCAGCTTCTGCAGGACAGAGGCATTGGGCAGGACAATATCAGGTAGAGAGTGTGGTCCTCAGAGTATGTATCTAGGTGGTAGTAATAGTAGTAAAGTTGGAAGGGACCTTGGAGGTCATCTAGTCTAACCCCCTGCTCAGGCAGGAAACCCTACACCATTTCAGACAAATGGCTGTCCAGTCTCTTCTTAAAAACTTCCATTGTTGGGGCATTTACTGCTTCTGGAGGCAGGCTGTTCCACTGATTAATTGTTCTAACTGTCAGGAAGTTTCTCCTTAGTTCTAGGTTGCGTCTCTCCTTGATTAGTTTCCACCCGTTGCTTCTTGTCTTGCCTTCAGGTGCTTTGGAAAATAGCTTAATTCCCTCTTCTTTATGGCAGCCCCTGAGATATTGGAATACTGCTATCATTTCCCCCCTTGTCCTTCTCTTCGTTAAACTAGACATACCCAATTCTCGCAACCGTTCCTTATATGTTTTAGCCTCCAGTCCCCTAATCATCTTTGTTGCTCTTCTCTGGACTCTTTCTAGAGTCTCAACATCTTTTTTACATCGTGGTGACCAAAACTGGATGCAGTATTCCAAATGTGGCCTTACCAAGGCATTGAAGAGTGGTATTAATACTTCACGTGATCTTGATTCTATCCCTCTGTTAATGCAGCCTAGCACTGTGTTGGCCTTTTTGGCAGCTGCAGCACAAGCCAGGCAAGTTTGTAGCATTGGAGTAATATGCTCTTGGTCTTGTATACCGACTAACAGACAAGCTGCTGCATTCTGGCCCATTTGGACTTCCAGATGGTTTTCAAAGGCTGCCACAGGTTGTTGAACATGTTGCAGTAATTTAACCAGGTCAGGATGAAGGCATGCGTTAGTGAATTAAACTGTATATAAGGGGTAAAGGCATATAAGCTAGTGCACAACTAGTAAACTAGTTAAAGCTGAACAAAGGCCCCTGGGGCCATAGCTTTCACCCTGCCCTGGCTGTAAACATAATCTTGAGTCCAAGAGGACCCCTAAATTATGGACTTGCTTCCTCAGGAATTGTATTTCTCTATCCAGTGACAACACTGGGGTCAAGAGAGAACCTCAAACAAAACAGCAGCAGCTCTGTCTTGTTTGCCTATTCAGTCCCACACTGACCCTACCAGCCTCTGGAAACCAGGACAAAATATTAATGGCATTTCCAGCCCAGTATTGGTAGCAGCATGAGGCTGGATATCACAAGATATTGATAATATTGCACCTTCAACCAGTGGATTATATCTTTGTATAGATTTTAAAAAGCAAAGGGTAGAAAACCAATGGTTTAACCCTGCAATGTCCCACACAGCTGTAGCCAGTAGGCCACCCCCTTTGTCTGTGGTAGCCATTATTTTTATTTTATTTATTAAATTTGTTTGTCATCTTTCTCATCATGAATGGAGTGGAGAGAGCCTTTCCTAACTTGCTACCTTTCAAATGTGTTGGATGACAACTCCCAGAATTACCAGCCAATTGTGAAGGTACACTGTTTTCAAATTAGAAATATGCTAAGTTCTGAATATAATTGATGACTCAATTCCATCTGAGGGTAGGAGGTTGGTATAAACCAGGTGATGATCTGGCCTGCCAAATGGCAACATTGGCCTAAAAGGGATGGAGGAAGAAAACGGAAACTTTTATGCCAAACTTGGGTTTAATTGACAAAAACTCAACAAACAGCGCCTGCTACAGTGCAACACAATGCCAGAACAGATTATTATGATTGTCCAAAGTAACAAGTATCTGAATTTCAGTTTACTATACACCAAAGTATCTGAATTTCAGTTTACTGTACACCAAAGTATACTGAAAATTACCTTGTGTTGAATTGGTGCAAATGACATTGCAATGTTTGCAAGATAATCTGTAACGACCTCTTTATTTTAAAAAAAATCATCCAGACATTATGCTGTAGAAGAATCCATTCTTATTCAAACTTCTACTATAAAAATGGGACATGTTAAACCAAATGCCATGTATGTATGTATGTATGTATGTATGTATGTATAATGCAATTGTTTATAATTCCAGCTTTGTTTTGTTTTTGCAATCACCAGATGGTCAAAATGTCTTTGTGAATTGCCTTTGTAATTTGAATTTCAGGAAATAAGTATCACAAATGAGTATCATTTTTTTCAGACAGAATTTTTAAAAAGCACATTCTCTCCACTATTCTTCATTCAGTCCTTGCCATCAGAACAAAATTGATTTCTTGTAGGCATTATAACAGAAACAGGCTCTGTGGAGAAAATAATCCAGTGCCCCAGGGAAGCCAATTCATCCAACAACAAAGCGCATGCTGTACACTGAGAGGCTGTTGTTTTTCTTATTTTACAATGGGTGGGAGGTATATCACCATACATAATACATGTTCTTGTGAAATCTAACATGATTAACAGTTCATTTATGTGTACATAAATTTTAGTGAGTCCGTGTTGCATGTTCCTAAGAATATTTTATTCTGAGCCTGAGTTTAAAGCCTGAGTACAAACAATACAAGTGTCCATGGTAGCTCACCCCACTGTTTCAAAGTCCCTGACCCAAACAAACAGCTTCATTCTCTGGCAGAGTTATCACCCTGTTCTTAAACTTCCAGCATCAAAGATTAAAAAAGACCTGAGAGCCATTTAATCTAATCTCATTCATAGATATAGAATGCTATTATCAGTATCACAGAGTATACTTGTAGCACTCTCTTAGTCCATATTTCATATTTGATTGCTGGCTAATCTCTTAAACACACTGCCAAAAATGTACAAAGCATTCCCCTCAAGTAGCTCCCTACCTATCACTCTTGTGGTCACCTTGGCCTCAGTGTGGTATGACCATTGCTATTATAGATCTTTTTACAATAGATTAATTATGGCACAGACTTATTTTTGGAACAATAACTAATAACTATATGGAACCTTGGTTGAGCCATCTGTCAATTCTAGGGTTTTTAAATCCCATGTTTTGAAAAATAATCTTTACATTTAAACGATTATAGCAATTATACTTTGATTGGAAGCCACTACTGCAAGAACTATCTTAAGTAATATTGAAAGTGATAAAAGAATCGGTAGGTTTCTCTTGATGACTCAGCTGTTCTGCCTCATTCCATGTCTGAACTGGGATGTGACAGCAGGTAGAAGCTCCTGTATGTACAGGCTCATTGACATCCATTACCTCTGTCAAGTCTGCCTCCAAAGTACTAACTGTGTGGGTCACCTGTGCTACATGAACTTTGTTGGTTACTCTTTTATGCAGAAGGCAACTGAAGATCTTCTTGAATCCCTTCCGGAAATGCTTCGATACCAGGGCATAGACAATAGGATTGACACAGGAATTGGCATAGGAGATTAGGTGAGACAGGACCCTGAGCACAAAGGTAACATTGTTGAGGGGAAAATAGCCAAACCAAAAACAAAGGATGACCAAATGATGGGGAAGCCAACAAAGGCAGAAGAGAACAGTCACAATAATGATCATCCGAGTGACTTTGCGTTTACCTTTCTTAGAATCAGACATGATTTTCATGGGATCCACAGATGTCCAGAGATAGCGTATGGTCCTTAAATAGGTGAAGCTGAGAATCAACACTGGGATGACATAGCTGAAGATAAATGTGCAGAGATCCATAATCTTGCGCTGTGACATTTCCCAGATGGGATGGCAGACAGTAATGTTGGCAATCTGATACTCCTGGAAGTAGCTGACATACGGTCCAGAGAAGATGAATGAAAGACCCCAGATGAAGCAAATTGCTGTGACAGCATTCCTAGGTGTTCTTAGTTCTCTCGAATGCAAAGGATACCTTATAGCCAAATACCTAGGTAGACAAAAGGAAAGCAAGAAAAAGCTACAATATTGAGGTATGCCAATAGGTGAAAGAAATTCAGAGTTAGTAGGCTGCAACTACTTAGATGAGTACAATAGTATTCTGTGAGTAAAGAGCCATGGCTGCAGAGCATTCCTCCTGGGTACTGAAAGATATTCATGTTAGGAGAGATAGTAGCCACATGTATTGAAAAGCAAAGAGTATTAGGGCAAAAAGAAAGGAGGAGGAGACAACTGGGAAGGGTATGGAAGCCTCTGGAGTATATTTCTTTGCCATGCTAGTCTAAAACCTTATTGGTTTTATACTGACATTTCAGGTGTGCTCCCTTTTGCTGTGCTGTATACAAAACAAGTCACAAGTCACCATCTCACAAAGTGAAAAGGATTTTAATCATTTCTTCAAGTTGGGATCAGGGGAAGCTCTGTCTAGCTAAGTTGCCAATGTTTGGTGATGCAATGTTTTGCAAAGGTTTGGTCCAGTCATTGAGAATTAAGCTAAAAAGCATTACACATTCTCCTCCCAACATAGACATACTGTAGATATAGACATTTTCAAGTATACATACATACATACATACATATGTATGTACGTACATACGTACATATTGCAAACAAACTTTATTTTTAATAAAGCTACATAATATCATTTTCCTTTATACAGTACATATTCAGTGTCATTTTTATATACGTTGGATCAACATTCTGTACAATATATGCACTATGTACATTTGATATCTAACCCACAATAGCCTTATGTATATTTCCAATTTTTGTTTCTATTGTCTATCCAAGTATACCATTTTTCCCAAACTGTGTAAAATTCCGACTCATCTTTTTGTTTTAATTCTAAAGTGAGTTTGTCCATTTCGGCACATTCATATATTTTCTGAATAATCAAAATCCCTCTGGTGGTATATTGCATTCCTTCCAGTATTGCACGAACACAATTCTTGCCGCAGTTAAAATATGTAAAATCAGATATCTTATTTTCTTATCAAATTTCTTTTTAAGTATTCCCAGGAGAAATGTTTCCAGGTTTAATTCGATTTGACATTTTGTTAAGTCTTGTAGCCACTCTTGTATCTTGGTCCAATATTTTTTCGCTTCAGGCCACAACCACCAAGCATGAAAGAAGGTACCTTGACGATAGTTACATTTCCAACATTTTGGGCTTTGGTTCGGATACATTTTGGCCAATCTTGCAAGGGCTAGGTGCCAACGGTATAGCATTTTATATTGATTTTCCTTATATACAGCGGATTTTGTTATTTTGTAATTTTTATTCCAAATTCTTTCCCAATCTTCTAATTCTATATTGTGCCCTATGTTTTTTGCCCATGCAATCATCGGTTCTTTCACTATCTCCTGTACTCTATCAAATTCTAATAAATAGTTATATATTTTGGATATTAATTTTCCCTCAGGGCCTAACAATAGTTTGTCTAATTGTTTTAGTTCCATATCAATTCCATATTCTTCCGCATCTTTCTTATATCTAGATTGCAATTGTAAGTATGGCCACCAATCAACAGTTATTCCCTGTTCTTTTAATAACTTTGAGCTTCCCCTCTTTATCTAAAATTTCCGAGTATCTGGGCATTTTGCTTATATCCAACATGTTAGGGTGGATCATTGCCTCCATGGTAGATAGCCAGCAAGGAATTTTCCTATAGTGTTTTTTCCTTATATCCTCCCAGGTTCGTAACAATGCATCTCTTATTTTATGTCTATAAAAATATGAGTGTATCCTATTTCCTTTATCCCACATGAAGGCATGCCACCCCTTCTGTAAATCGTGCCCTTCCAATGTTGATTCTTCTTTTCTTTAAGTTAACCCAATCTTTTATCCAGACCAGAGTTGCTGCTTTGTAATAAATTTCCCATGACAGGAGTCCAAAGCCACCTCTACTTCTGTTGTCTTGGAGAAAGAGTAATTTTATCCTCGCCTTCTTTCCTAACCAAATGTATTTTGTAATAATTTTATTAAGTTCTCCAAAAAATTTCTTATCTAATGATATGGGAATTGTCTGAAATAAGTATAATAATTTGGGTAAGATATTCATTTTGATAGTCGCGATCCTACCTAAAAGCGATAGCTGTAACCTCCCCCACTTTTCCAAATCCTTCTTTATTTGTTGGACTAATACCATATAATTATCCTCCTTTAAGGAGAAACATCTCACAGTCAACCATATCCCTAAGTATTTAAATTTTTTTTACAATTTGTAAATCCATTTCCTTTTCTAATTCTTTTTTCTGATTTGTTGTTAAGTTTTTAACTATCATTTTGGTTTTCCTTTTGTTGATTTTAAGTCCAGATATTTCCCCGTATTTTTCTATTTCTTGTATTAGAATGGGACTGGATTCCAAAGATTCTTCAATGATAAATACCATATCGTCTGCGAAGGCCTGTGCTTTGTATTCTTCTCTTTTAATTTTCGTTCCCTTTATTTCTTGGTTTGCTCTAATTCTAATTTAAAAGTATTTCTAGTGTTAGGATAAAGAGAAGGGCATCCCTGACATATTCCCTTGGTTATTTGAAATGTGTTGGTGGTGTCCCCATTTACTATAACCTTAGCTTTCTGCTTCTTATATATTGCCGCTATCATATTTTCAAATTTACTTCCCAATTCCATAAGTTTAATTTGCCTAATCATGAATTGCCAATTTAGATTATCAAAGGCCTTTTGAGCATCCAGAAAAACAAGGGCCGCTTGTTTCTCTGGGTGGGCTTCATAATACTCCAATATGTCTACTATTATTCTATTATTATTATAAGTATAGTTTTTAATATACAGTATTTGGTAGGGAGTTTTGGTTGAAAAGGCTCTCGGCATTAAAAAGAAAAATGGGTAATATGCTAACTTCCTATCAACAGCCCACGACCAAGAAACCAAAAGTCACAGCATCTCGTTAATTGAGTTCATTGTTAGGAAAAGAGGTTATAGAATCTTAGAAAGTGGATAAATTAGATAACCATATGTTAGCACATACATTGAAATGGAAACTCTTGAGATTTGTTTGAATTTCTGTATTACAAAATTCCTAACGACAACCTGACAACCTTTCTCGAGACAGAAAGCTGAATCTGGCTTTCCTATGGGCTTTGCTTGTCAGAAGGTCGCAAAAGGAGAGCACATGACCCCGGACACTGCAACGGTCATAAATATGAGTCAGTTTCCAAGCATCTGAATTTTGATCATGTGACCATGGGGATGCTGCAATGTTGTAAGTGTGAAAAACAGTTATATCAGTTATAAGTTATTTTCAGTGCCATTGTAACTTGGAAAGGTCATTAAATGAACTGCTGTTAGCCAAGGACTAGGTGTGTACGTGTGTGTGTGTATAATATCTTGCTACCCGACAAAACGTATTTGTACACAAATTCATATATCCTAGTACTATTAGCACTGGCCGAGTACCATGGTACAGAACTATTGTGTTCTAGAAAAGAAAGTCCAAAGATCTGAAGGATACCAGAACTGAAGGATGCCAGGAATGAGAAAACCTACATAGCTGCAGAAACAGCTTGCACTGCCTTCTCCCAGGGTTTTTAATTCTCCAATCTAATCTAAAGTTCTGGGATTTCTTAGTGATCTTCTATCAAAGTAATAAAAATATGCAACATTACTTAGTCTGTTTGTTTTTTAGATTAGCAAGATAGGCTAGGTGCTGCAACCAGCTGTGACTTCCATTATATATATAAAATTATGCTTTCTATTCCATGTGGAGTAGAAACCGCTCAAACTTCCTTAGATATATATATATATAAAACTTCTTGACATTTCTTTTCCTTGCCTTCCTTATTTGGCAAGCATTAGTGTACCCTGCCTAATGTTTGGAAATGTTAGAATTAGTGTACTGGTCCACATACTGGAAAATTGGTAAATGTAAAAGGCTGTTGGAATAATCACTTGTACACCACTGTATGTGTGTTTTAAAAATATTCGATATTTGATTTGGAATAATTGTTTGAATTAACTCTCCGTTCTTTAAAAAAAAAACAGTTTTCCAATTATGTTGAAACACAGGCTGTATGCATGTGTTTTCTTCATCTTGAAATCATCTTGACATAATGCATATCCAGAGATATTATATTCACATGAGAATGTAAAACTCATAACAGTATATAAAAGTATTAGGAAACAACCACAAGTATAAGCAGCATCAGAAGCAGTTGAAGAATAATGCAAAGTATGGTTTGTCTTCTGTTGCAGACTAACTTGTGTTCTGTTTAGCAATGTATGTTCTGGTTTAGTGATATGGAATGCATGTTATTCTTTAAAAAGAATAAAAAGAATGCATGTTATTCTTTAAAAAGAGCACACTATGATCCTATATCATATTATTAATTTTATATTCTATTATATTAAATGTCTAAGATGCAGCAGTAAAAAAAATCTAAATAATTTATAGAACTTTTTTCAATTTTCATGGGAATATTTTTTAACAATTTGTGTGTAATTTACACATAAAATAATAAATATATATCACCAGACAGCTAGGATTCGCTGAGGTTTCATCAGATTAAGGTTGCCAAATTTCATTTGAAAAAAATCAAGACAGCTGCTAGATGGTAGATAGCAATACAGATACCAATAAAGTCTTTGCATCCAGATCTGATAATTTGTGACAAACAATGACTTGTCCTCATAAAATGTAGAGTTGCATTGAGTAAAAAGAATATGCTCTTTTTCTTTAATGTTAGAATCAAACCCCACTCATCAAAGCAGGAAGGAAATCTGAAAGCAGAATGAAGTTTCTGAATAACAAATCCCTTACTGGAATAAAAACTGCCTGTGGAGGTTACCTGTACCTACATATCTAAGTTATACCCCAATAAAGTCAAGTGGGACAGAAGCCTAGGAGATGCTACACATTTCATTGTTTATAAAGTCTCTGAAAGTTGGATGTAACTGAACATATGAATAAGAGAGAGAGAGAGCACTATATTTTTCATCAGTTTCCCCACTCAATAGAGGCAGAGGTAAAGGTACTCTGTAAATGCTTTGAATTAATGTCTGTAATTTATTTCATCTATTCCATCAGCAAGAAACTGCCTAGAAGGTCACACTATATTGCAAGATTTTACACTAGATGACTATTAGAATATCATATTTCTGCATAAATGCAGAAAAATAAATTTAAATGTAATAGTTAAACTGTTGGGTGCTGTTGATATCGTAACTCTACCAATGCACCTGACATTTTGCAAATTAGAGATACCCCTTCCAAACAAAAATATTGCTTTTGTATAAGAGAGGCACAACATTACGATGTTCCAATAGCCGTCTAGTGCAAAACCTTGCAATATAGTATGGCTGTCCACTTAAACTCATTTAAATTTAAACTTATTTTAAACTGAGTTTTTCAAGAGATGCATGTTCTCCCTGCAAGTTATGAGACAAAGCGGGGGAGGTGTTCAGGGAGACTGGAAAGTTATTATTGTTTGAAAGTTAAAATCGTATAGTAGTTTCCAAAACTACACCATGACTTTCAAAATCTAGCCTCCACAGCCCTTCTGCTTACTCACCTGTCTAAGGATACAGTTGTGAGAGTGAAACTGCTGGCATACATGGTCAGATAGATGAAGAAATGCACTGCTTTACACATGAAGGGGCCAAAGATCCAATCATCCAGGCTATAGATGGTGGCCTGGAAAGGCACGCAGAAGACAATGAAGCAGAGGTCAGCCACACCTAGATTGAGGATGAAGAGGTTGGTGGTATTGGTCACTTGCCCGTTCCTCAGCAGCACTGCAAGGACTAGAGAGTTGCCCACCGTGCCTATTAGGAAAATCAAAGAGTATACCAAGGGAATGATTACAGAGATCAGCTGCCAAGTGTTGCTCTCACTAACCCCCGAAGAGTTTAACAGGGTCAGTGTTCTGTTCATCTTGGAAGCAAAGTGTCCTCTGGTAGGGAAGAAACGGGAGTCAAGATCCTTTCGCTCCCTGGATTTGCCAGAAATGCTCAGATCACTGACAACTGCAGATTGCTTTCAGTCAAAACTTCTTGGGAAAAAAAATAACAATTTTCTTCTTAGCGGATATTTTCTGCTACTTTTCCATTTATAATCCTGCAGATCAGAGGAACTTCCATTCATTGATGCCAGATCTCTGTCTGCCATCACATACTGTGAAAGCTGTACTTTTTCTTGAAAGCGGATTTCCACTTTGTGCAGTGCTGAAACGCTTTTTTGGTTTTCTGCCGTGTCTCTCACAGAAAACCATTCACTGGCAGCCACTCTCGTAGGTGTGCAAGCTGAGACTAAACTTCATGCCAGTCATGCTCACTGCCCGTTTTATATTCCCCTCCGAGCCTGTTATATTCAGCCTGTGCTGAATCCTCCTTCATCATATTCATGGGGACAACTAATATATTCAAGACATCCCCTTGTTTCCAGGGAGACAAACAGTCAAAATAAAAGTAATGGTGTCTATGGAAATACAGCCCCCTCCTCACATACACATACACACACACACACACACACACACACACACACACACACACACACACACACACACAGTCTCTCTGACCATTTAGGTAGTTGCCCATGTGTTTTAGCTGGAAGGTTTCAGGAAGTTTCCACTGAGAACTTAAAATGCAGTTGGATGAACAGCACAGTCTGGTAAGTCAGAAAAAGAACCTCTTGTGCTGCAAGTTCTCGTCCAAAACATTTCAAACACCTACTGGGAATGTGATAGTACATTCACTGACAGCTGCCATATAGGGCCAATGTAAATGTTTTACATACTGTTTTCCTCCGATTCTGACAAATGTTATCTCTGAAAATGTGCCTGCACTAACATCAGCAACCAGGAGCAAGGAATGTATATATGCTCAGGACGCTGGGTCTGGAGTTCAGAGTTTGAGGAAGGGGCAGGGCCAGTGGAGTAGGCTCAATGGGGAGGGATTCATAAATTGGCTTGTTTGGCTTTGGCTTAGAGGAATGTGTGAACCTGGCCAGTATGATTTGCAAACCATAGTCGATTGTGGATGTTGACTACGGCAAAGAGTTGACTGGAATATAGTTCAGGAGCAGGGAAGCGAGGCGGAAGCAATGAGGGCAGGATTTAGAAGGCAATAGATCTGTATCAGTTTTGCCAGCTCAGAACGTACTTCCTCCTTGCAGTTTTGTGATCAGGGATATCAGAAATCTACTAGGTTATTCTGTGAAAGGAACTTAAGGAAACTTTAAATTTTGAGACACTTCAATGTCTCTTTTGGAAGATTCTGACCATTTCTTCCACATAAGTCACTTTTTAAATCCATTTTATGAGTAAGTCTATCTGAGCAACTTGGTGTATTATTTAGGAAGCTTAAATACATCTACGAACTGACTTCAAGGGTATTCTGGTTCATACAGAAAGCAGATTAGGATACTGGTGGAATTGTGGATAGCATTTTTAAAATTATACTTGTTTTGTATGCATAAAAATAAGTATAATTTTAAACATACAAACCATAGCTCCAGCAATCGCTATAATATGTGCAATATCCCCTCCCCAAAGACTCTTTGAAAAAGGCAGGTTTTGATGGCCCTCTGGAATATGGTAGAGATGGAACCTCTTGTATCTCTGGAGCAGGATGATCTCCCACAAGAAACTTTACCTATGGGGATTCTGATAATGTTCCCTTTGGGATGGAAAGTGCAACAAGCCTAGATTTTATCATGATGAAAGTCTCAAAGACAACTTATGACGAAGAAGAACTGCTCCATGGAGCAATTAAGACAGCCTCAAATAAGGCAATATTTCAGTTAAGCAACATTCCACTATTGGAAATATATTAAGGAACAACACATGAATAAGGAAAAGGATTTCAATTCTTTTTAATTGAAACTGCAACAGTTGCAGCATTCTTGCTTTGTGAACTGTTCTCTGTCCATGGGTACTTTTCTTTATCACCAGCATTTCAAGCTAGAACTACAAGAAAATCCATAGATGGATGGATGGATGGATGGATGGATGGATGGAGAGAGATGATGTATGTGTACGTATGTGTGTATTGTTGTGATAGATAAGAGAGGGGTTGTGATAGATCAGTGTAAGTTGCTGCAACTTGGTTGCCACAAATCATAGCCACCAACAGATTAACTGTAGATCACAAAACAACAAAAAATGCAGTATGGTGACAAATAGTTGAGCTGCTCTTGCTTCCTGTGCCTCAATTCATGCTTCTTCCTGAAGGAAACAATTCATTTTCTTCCTTAATTAACTTCCCTGGAGCACACAGCCACCCTGATACTGTTCCAGCTGTCCCAGATGAGCACGAGCATGGGACAATAGGTGGACCAAGCAGCTGCAGCCCATCTGGTGTTTTTTTACAATGCAAGCACTCTGTTCAGCCTCTTATTCTGCTTTGGAATAACAACAGGAGGAAATATTACAAGGGACTGCGTCTTCTCTCTGGCCAAAAAGACACGCAAAGATATTCAGATAACCTAAAAGTTAGCTTGAAACTTTACTCCCAGAACTGGTTCAGAACTTCTATCAATCAAATAATTTGGAGTTAAAATTGTTTTGATAGACGTTTTTCATCATTTCTGACAGCAATAGGAAAGATTCCAATAATTATATGTGCCCCGATCACCAAACAGCTTGATCAGCAGAAGGGTCCATCCTGGAAAGAAAAAGAATGGCCAGTTCTCAGGTAATATAAATGCTTACTGAATCACCAAGCTTGAGGAAGTACAATAGACCAGGGGTCTCCAACCCTGGTCCATGGACTGACACCAGGCCGCGGTATGCCAGAAACCGGGCTGTGCAAACAAGCAAAGCCCCACCCATGGTATGCAGGAGTACATGAAACCACACCCCCTCTGCTCCACGGCAAAACCTCTCTCCGCGGAACCGGTCCCTGGTGCCCAAAAGGTTGGGGACCTTTGCAATAGACTGACTGGGTAATGTTTCAGAGAGAATGGTTCTAGTTCAGATTTCTGCTTTGGCCGTGACACAGATGCATATTACTAGCTCTTATTTCTCTTTATGTCATTCTTTTTACTAAAAGTTTAGTGAAGCCTTTCCCAAGCTAATGTCCTCCAGGTGTATTTACACAGTACTTTTCAGAATCTCTCTGTTGGCCAGGGATTATAGACCCAAACATCTAGAAGGCAACATGTTGAGAAAATTGAATAACAATTCCACTTATATTCGATGCTCCTGGAACCTAGCAGGAAAACCTGTATCTCCCTTTCAATATAGACACTGTAAAACATGAAACATGACTAGGAAGGGAGCCATCAAATAAGAAGCATCTCTTTACTCTCATTATCCTAGCAACACAACACTGAGGCTTTGAAGTTATCCACTATGCAGTAAATCAGCTTCCATTCTTTCTCATTAAAAAGTTCACAATCCAAAAGGTGCTGAATAGCAAATGGATCCTTTCAGATTAGAGGAAATTGCACAGAAACCACAGAGGCAGTGTGAAAAAAAAAAGAGAAACAGCATTTTAACAACCTTTATTCATATTATTATGTCTTTCCACAGGCAGAAGAAATGCAAGTGTGCTACCAAGCTCATTTTAAAGAAAAATATCATCCTCCTCCAAATGGGAAATGTATCACACAAAGCAGCGGTTATAACAGAGCAGAAAGTACCATTGAAAGCTGATGTGTGAATGTATTTTACAAGGCAAAACAATATCCCTCCTATTGGCTCAAAAATGATTAAAAATGCTCAGAGAAGGAATATAATCTATGGCTGGAAGGGTGAAGAAAATGAACTAGTTGGAGCCTGTCTATTTGCCCTCCCATTGTGATCAGCATTGAAAAAAACAAGAATTAAGTATCCTTTGGAGAGAAGAGTTGAACTCCAATGGATTAAGCAAGTACACATCCAGTAGCCCAGTTCCAAGACTGGTGCATAGTTCCAAATACTGCACTTAAAAAGGAGTTTGTGCAAGGAAAGAGCAACTAAAATTATAGGAAATTACAAGAGCTGCTTTAAAAGGAAAGGGGGCTTTTTAACTTAGAACAAAGACAAAGAATATGAGATTCAATACAAATATATTAAACATGTTAGGAACAAAGGGGAGAAAAAACATTTGTTTTTCACATTCAGAGTATTAGAATTAGAGATCATTCACTGAAGCTAAATTTAGGGAGATTCACGCCCAACTGAAAAAAATGTTTTACATAAAGTACAATTATGCAGTAATTGTTTTAATTAAACAAATCAAGTTTTTTTCCCATTCCCTCTTCATTCTGTATAAACAAAGAAAGAAATGAAAGAGTTCCTTCAGGCTATGGAATTCAATCTGCAACTTCATCTAGATGCTCCTCCCTAAAACATTTAGTAGAGCCCATTATTTTTTAATCTTTAACTGGAATCTATTCTTCCATAACTTTATTACTCCATAGCCTCCTCTCTGCCAAGTCAACTTTCTTCTCTGATATATTTTCAGGTACTCAAAGAATGCTAGGATATGTAACTATGCTCACTTTAACTAAGTTAGAAAGCATTGATTGATGCTGACCTGACCTGAAGGAAAATGCAAAGTTATGCCCTTGGGAATGAAAAGTCAAATGAGGAGGTACAGATAGTCTTCGACTTTTGACCTTTGATCAAACAGAAGAAATAGAATAGAAATAGAAAATTCAGGGGCTGTTATGACAGCACTGAACAAGTGATATCTATAATCAGTCCTTGGAGTTTCAGTCATCCAACCACCTCCATGACCATGTGATCGTGACATGGGTACGACAGTCTGTTTGCACTTACAACCAGCTGCACTGTCCTGCATCTGTATGATTATCATTTTCAACATTCTCTGCCAGCTTCCATAGAAAGGTAGTGGGGAAGCTGGCAGGAAAGGTCACAAGTCAGAAGTCTCCCATCCCTGTGCATCCTCCTCCAGCTGCTCTGAGCCCCTCTGCACCAGCCACTCGTGCACCCCCATTGACCCTCACATCTCCCACACCCTCATGCATTTTCCACAACCCGTGCCTCTTACACACACCCTCACACCCTCCCTGACCCACATCTCTCATGCACACCTTTGCACCATCCCCAATCTGCACCTCATGCACCCTTGATGACCCTCTCTCACACCCTTTGCTCCCCCACCCCCATCCAGCAGCAGCCACTTATCTGCCTGCCAGCCTGAACTTGCAACTTCCTTCTGGTTTCCCCACTGGCTTTGACTGTGGAAAGCTAGCAGGAAGTTGCCTCACCTAGCACATGTGGCATTCAGTTAACAACAGCAACCAGAATTGCAGGGATTGACATCTCTAAGCACTACTGTCAATACATCTCTAAGCAATACAATTACGACCGCATCAATTAGCAACAG